TATTATTTTTTAAAAAATATTTTTATATTATAATTCTTGTAATAGAATATAAAAAACAATGTAATTTCTTTCGAAACACAACAAGACTTTGTTTTATGAAATATGTGATTAAATATAATATCAAGTGCAATTACAGACGTTCTGAAAAATAATTAAATAGTAATTTACAATAGTTTTTCTATTGTTAAATTTTTATTTTATAAATATACAAACATTTCTGAAATTTTTCTGAAAGGTTTGTATATTAAGTAAATTAAATCTATTAAGTTTTGATGTGTAGAAGTTGAAGTAAGAGCTGATAATGAGTTGTCACGTGTTAAACCTCGAGGAGGGTGAAAATTCATAATACTGTATTATGATTCGTTATTAGCGTTTAAAGTTTGTTATAAACTCAGTTTAACCTTGAAAATGTGACTTTTGTCATTTTATAATACTTGATAATGTAAAAGAATTTTAAAATAAAACAACATTAATAGATAACACCAAACTAACTTGTAAATTTGTTATACTCTTTGCATTTTCTGCAAAGAATAATGACAAATATTTATACTTTACACTGCTCAGGTTGAATTTTTTGTAAGAATAAACCAAACAAATGTGTTTAGTTTATTATAAACTATACCAGTGACAATGCTGTACGAAAAGACAATTTTTTTATTTATTTAAATTTTTACAAAATTAAAAGAATTATAAAACTTTTCTATACCTATAGAAAAATTCTATAGGTATTCTATTTTATATTTTTTTTACCTCGATAGACCATTATCGTGAAGGTTGCAGATAACGTGGTAGAATACGCGGAACAACGTTATCAGTTCAAATCCAAGGCAACGGTTGATAATACGTAAAACTTTTCTGTGAATTTCTAAATAATTTTTGCGGACGTCGTTGGCGTCATGCCAAAATATATGCATAAAACTTCCTTTAAGAAATTTATTTCGAAATTTTTAAAGGTACTCGTTTCATGATTAATTGACAATGATAGTTCTGTTTTAATATTAATGATATTAAAAGAAATGTGTGTTTTATATAAACAATAATAATTACTCCAATGCACCAGAATAATTCGATACATTTATTTTCGTATAATACTTGATTAATATTCTTTTCGTATAATACTTGATTAAAGATTTTGTATTTCTCGACATTAAAGGTTCTCTGAGTCTAAAAAATGTAAAAATTTGAAAATTGTTGTTTGACTAATCGTTATACTTTTTTCTATGTAACAGCGGCGATAGAAAATGCAGTAGAAAATTTACTTACAAGTGACGAAAGTGGAGTTTTGTTCTCCACTAATATAATAACTTTAATCATTATTTATAAGTAAAAATTTCAATGATATTTATTCACTTCAAAACTGGTTTGCTGCAAACAGTAGAAACAATGGAAAGTTAAAACTGATGAAAAAGCTTGCTACCTGGAATTTCCGGCTTTACTACACGTGTTTAACATCGAAATAACGAAGTTTTTCATAGAAATTCCTTTCCGAAGATCTTTCCCTTTGCAAATCGCACACGTGTTGAATTGCCGAATCTCATTAAATCAAATGAACAAAATCATATTTGTGTAATCACCATAAAATAATGTTTCCCAAACTTTATCTGGTATGCCCTCGGACTCTTTCTCATAACAAAAACCTGACCACGGACCCACAAGTGAAATAACTCTACACAACTGTATTATATCAAAATTATAAATTTAATTTTGATGTCTGGAAATAGTAAATGATGAATGTAAATGTAAAATATAAATAAAACATTTTGATATTTAAAGTAATATTTATTAAAATCACTAGATAAAGCTTACCCGTTTTTGATAAACAAGTATAATACAGTAAAAATAAAAAAGAATGTATAATTTTTTTATAATTTATTTATAAATTATATAATCTTACATTATTTTATCTATTGAATTTTCATAGACGAACATATGATCGAAATAAATAAATTTTTTATTACATTTTTTATTATTAAATGGTTTTATAATAATGAAAAATTATCACTCTTTTGAAAAAAAGTAAATAAATACGTAAAATTCTATAAACGAACGAAATAAATTATAAAATGTCATAATCTATGCAATAAGTGAAGTGCAGAGCCCATTTTGATAATCAGGAAGCATTATCAGGTATTTCCACAGTGCAATGTTTCTCATTTCATGTGTTTTATGTATACTTATGAAGAAGTAAAGAAGTAAAAATTTCGCTCAAGAAGTAAAAATTTATTTATACCGTTTATTTTTAACTTTCATGATGATAAAAGTTTATCACAATTATTTATTTTTTTGGTAAACCTTTCGCAGACCCTTCTGACATCGTCAAAGCATCCAAAAATTAATTTGTGTTTGCCACGAACCCCATCAAAAATACCGCAGTAAACCATAGAAACCATTTTGGAAACACATTGTACAGAGTCGTCCAAGAGGTTGCGGATTTTTCGGGTAAATAAAAAGAATGTAGGATCATTTGGCTGTTAATACGAAAATTATTGCATAGTCGCGTAAGCTCCGAGCAGTCAGTCAAAGTCTTTTGCTTGACTATTCGGCATAATTCGCGTTAACCCGGGATAAATAACTTCAAGAGGTCTTTTAAAGGTAAATAGCCCATCTTTAAGTGTTATACATGTGCATAAATTCCGGAAAATTGCTTCAACCAGACACTAATGGCAAGGAGCGAACAAACGACCGAACAATTAGTTTTCAGGGTGCATAACTACCCACGAAGGTCTTCTCCCCATAAAACTAATAAGCTATTTATGCCTATTAGGAACGGCAAAAAACTGTATATAGTTCTCTTATGGGCCGATATACGATTCTTAACAGTTCCTACGTCATTTGGCCAAAACATAGAGAAAAATGAATACTCTCTACTTCTGTCCCCATACAAGATCTGTACGGCGTCTAATACTGTGCGATTGTAATATAAATATACTTGATAATAAAATGTTTAGCCTGCTGTTTCAGAAGCTAAAATAGTCTTTTATGACCACACTTACACGTAGTCGGCCAGGTTATTCAGGTCGAGCCAAGTGCAGAAATTTCGGAAGTTGTAGCATTCCATTTTTTAAAAATTTATAAGGAAAATAATAAATTTTCAAAATTATTTTGATTGCTGTAATTTATGAAGATTAATAATGATAATTATTATTGATAGTATTCTTTTACTTCCATCTTGAAAACAATGCACAAAAGGCAAATTTTTTCAAGTCATTTTTNTTCCATTTTTTAAAAATTTATAAGGAAAATAATAAATTTTCAAAATTATTTTGATTGCTGTAATTTATGAAGATTAATAATGATAATTATTATTGATAGTATTCTTTTACTTCCATCTTGAAAACAATGCACAAAAGGCAAATTTTTTCAAGTCATTTTTATTGTTCAAATGACTGCTACCAAATTAACTTCCTTCATCGATAAAAGACATACGCTACAAACAAAATATTAATTAAAGTTTAAAATATTTTTATTAAAATTAAACTTAAAAGAATATTTAAAAAAAACTACAAAGAAAAACACTTTTTCTTCAAATTTTACAATTGTAAATCATAAATAAATGTTCCACACATGAAGAAATCCCGNAATACTGTGCGATTGTAATATAAATATACTTGATAATAAAATGTTTAGCCTGCTGTTTCAGAAGCTAAAATAGTCTTTTATGACCACACTTACACGTAGTCGGCCAGGTTATTCAGGTCGAGCCAAGTGCAGAAATTTCGGAAGTTGTAGCATTCCATTTTTTAAAAATTTATAAGGAAAATAATAAATTTTCAAAATTATTTTGATTGCTGTAATTTATGAAGATTAATAATGATAATTATTATTGATAGTATTCTTTTACTTCCATCTTGAAAACAATGCACAAAAGGCAAATTTTTTCAAGTCATTTTTATTGTTCAAATGACTGCTACCAAATTAACTTCCTTCATCGATAAAAGACATACGCTACAAACAGAATATTAATTAAAGTTTAAAATATTTTTATTAAAATTAAACTTAAAAGAATATTTAAAAAAAACTACAAAGAAAAACACTTTTTCCTCAAATTTTACAATTGTAAATCATAAATAAATGTTCCACACATGAAGAAATCCCGAATTTTTTACGCATAAAAGATGAAACTACAAAGTAAAGTACACATTCAGCCAAAAAGTTTCACTTGTAAAAGAAGTAAAGCCATCATTTGTTTCATGTTTATCATATAAAATAGAGTCAAACGTCTGAACGGCAGAGAAATTAGGGAAAAAAAAAATTAAGAATATGTATGCATGTTTGTTTAAAAAAAAAGGAAAGAAACGTTTTCAGAAGCTCCGTAAATAGCTGCTTAAAAGCGAAATACACGTTAGAGCCTTAATTATATTTTAGTCATTATAAATAATTATAGTAAAATTAATCACAGAATTAATTAAAAAAAAGTATAATATAAATTTTATTAAATTATTTTAGGTAATTTCGGAAGATTTTAATAGCGACGATTCTTGAGACTTTAATAGTAATTTATTTAACCCAAATTTATTAAAATATTGAAGTGATTAGCTACAAGAACGAATCGTATTTTTAAATAATTATAGTTGTTAACTACAACAATAGTTATTTCATTCGTACAATTATTATATTTTATATACGTTTTTTAAATTGGTATTTATATAGTCGTTAATGAGATGACATTATGTTAAAATTTATTTTAATATAAATATGCAACTTCCATTTGAACAAGTTTTCAACAGAAAAAATAACAAAAAGTATTTAACAAAGACTAGCTTCAATTGGTTATTTTCAAAACAATTTATACCAATCAGACGAAGAACGGAGAGACTATATTACGTCACACACAATAATTACACTTTATAAAAAACTGATTTTCTATTCAGAATTTTCAATACTTGAGGAAAATATTTTTAAATGTGAAAGGTACTTCATTCAATCTGATAGAATCAATCATCGAGAAGCATTTTACGCTGAATATTATTAAGACAATTCAGGATTTTCTTAAGATAGCAATGAATACACAGGTAAAAATCACTCGACTGAACCAAGCATTCAAACGCGTATGCTAAAGTAATTTCTATTTTAATTTTTTTAGATAAGAAGAATCGACACTTCGAAGAGAACGAAATGTTCGTGTTTGACAAACACCGTGTCCAGTATAATTGGTCGACTTGGTATAACAATTAGTCGATATCCCCTTTATTTTGTCATTGCTCCTGTCATTCTTTCTGGCTTATTATCAATTGGGCTGATCAGAATTCAAACCAACGACGACATCGATTCTCTGTTAGCTGCGGACAGAGGTAAAGTTTTTGAATCAAAACAGTTTATAAAAAAGACATTCCGTGTGAATTCAGGTACTTTCGATTTTATACGACTAATTAAATTCCCAGATTTTCCAATAATCTACATAGTAAATAATAGAAAAAGCAACATTTTACGAAAAAAATTTCTAAACGAAATACGAACTGTAGATAAGGTTGTGAAAAATACCATAGCTCATGTAGATGGGAAGAATATTAGTTACGTGGACGTGTGCGAGAGTGTAGACGGCAAGTGTTCAGAAAATACTCTTATTGATCTGCTAAACAACTCCGAAAATACTATTAATGAAATATTAACATTGAAATATCCAGTTAATATTGATTCTGTAACATACGCGTACAAAATCCTTTGTGTGAATTTAGGAGGGGTGACGACAGACGACAAAGGATACGTAACTGAAGCAAAAGCGGTTCGTTTATACTATGTACTAGACGAATCGAATTCAAGTAAGAAAATGTGGAATGAAGAATGGACAAAGGCAGTTTACAACAAGTTGAGTGATTATAGTTTTCAGCATATTAAAACATTTTCCGAGCCAATAGCGTCTACCGGTTTTCAAATAATACGAATTTCACAGAAATTAGTTCCTTTGATAAGCGTTGCTGTGGTCGTAGTGGCTATTTTCTGCATGTCGTCGAACATGACTAACAATTGGGTAAAGTGCAAACCTTGGTTAGGCGTAGCTACTGTGGTATCTGCGGGTCTGGCTGTGACCACCGCTTTTGGATTATTAACCGCCTGTGGAGTACAAAACCTTCGGTGGAATGTCAGCCTTCCTTTCATGATTCTTGGTAAGATAATCCATAAAATATTTTCAGGTACAAATATACTTTGCTTTAGTAATTTAGTAATTCGAACACAAATCAATTATTGTATTTATTCAGACACTTGGAAAATCTCATTATTAAATTTTATTCAGTTTAATTTAATTAATGACGAGATTTGTCAATTGTCTGAATAAATACAACAATTGATCTATGTTCGAATTACTAAACATTACTGGCACGGTTTCGAAACTACCAAAATTACTAATTTATATTGTTTCGATATATTAAAGCTACGGAAGTGGACGACTCGTTTGTGGTATTAGCTTGTTGGAAGGTAAAAGACTGCAATGACAGCGTAGAAAAGCGAATGGAACAGACGTATCGCAACGCTGCAGTGTCCATCACCATAACGTCTCTAACGAATTTCTTCTCTTATTGTATTGCCATGACGTCACCATTTCCGGGTATAAGAATATTCTGTTTCTATGCCGCAACGTGCGTCTTCTTCAGTTATTTCTATCAGTTGTTTTTTTTCGGCGGATGTTTGGCATTAAGCGGATACAGAGAAGAGAAAGGTCTTCATCCTTTTACATTTAAACCAGCTTTTGGTAAAAATTTTAAAATTATTAAACTTATATTAGTAATGATTTTCATTAGTGATGTAACGAATATTCGGTTACTATTGTGTATTCGGCCTATTCGGCCTATTTTTCACTATTCGGCCGAATACCGAATGCCTATAAACAGGAGTTATAAACAACAAAAACACAGTAAATTAATTATTTTGTTATTTAAATTTAATGTTATCGAGTTAGTGTTGTTTGTTTATATTTATTTATAACTTGTAACATGCACAAAATAAAAAAGAAAATAATATTTTGTTACATGTATTTACAATTTATAATTACAAAGATCAGCAGAGGTACACGTCTATCGTTGGAGAATCCTCGCACATCTGAGGGTCTGACCCTGCCTATCCTTCTTTGTAAGTGCTCGTTTTTTCTCTATCGCTCTAATCCACGTATGCCTGTGCATACATCATAATACGCGCTCACGATACTTTCGATTCGTCACTTTTCCGTCCTAGAGTTCCCATTTTACAATTACGTGACCCAGCCTGGTGATAACAGAGAAAAGAGACAGATAGGACGTCGATATAAGTAAAATCACAGTTATGATTTCACAGATTCGAGACAGCTTGATAGTTCGAACGGCCCCAGGCTTTCGCCCGTGCACGCTAAGTGACTTTCACTTATTTCATTACATGAAAGTCGACTTAATTTCATATTTATTATCACATTTTCACTTCGCCGTCCTTCTGTGTTCTTTCTCCGTTATTTACACGTGTAGGACATTTCATTGTTATCCACATTTGATATCATCACTTACCACATACTGCCATGACGCTCATGTCTGTCCGCTTCAACTGCCAAGAATTAACGCGATTGGCGAAGCATAGTGACAGCG